TATATATATACATATGTAATATAAATGTAATTTTTTCAATTGTATTTAAAATATTCTGATTTCTCAGATCAACAACCTTTAAGCTCATTTAGAATAATACCAGTGTTGAGCAAATTAGTAGTCAACCAAAAATTTGCTGGTCAAATTGGTCTGGTCAAATTGGCCAATTGGTCAAACTGGTCCAATTGGTCAAGTCTATTATATAAATATAATGTATAAATTATATTATACAGTATAATAAATCATATTTAAATATTCTATTTGACTAATTTAACCAGTACAGATCCTTTGACTAGACTGGTCAAATTGGTCAAATTGGTCTAGTCCAATGGTCAAACTAGTCTAGTCAAGCCAACACTGAATAATACGTATCAAATTAATACAAGTTAAAAACTTGTAGATCTTTACAAAATAATTTTCACATGACAAGATCATGCTGCCCAATAAGATCCAAGATTTTGTACACAGTTAGTTGGCTGTAAACTATACACTTCGTTTCACTACGTTCCTAGTATATATTGTTGTATCTAATTATTAGTTGGCGGCGAAGCCGTCACATAATCATGTACTAGTTATACATATATAAAATAATCAGGCTGGTCAGGTTAGGCCAGGTTTTGGATTAACCTGATCCAACCTAGGCCCAACCTGTTGTAAAATTTTTTTATCAGGCTTGGGCTCAGGTCAGGTTTAAACAGGCCTGAGTCAGATTTATCTAAACCTGATCCGATCTGGCCTGTCCCGTACCCTAATTAATAGTTAGAAGTATTAGAAAATATTGGTAGTTGGCTATAAATTGGTTTGTAATTGCTAAAGTCTAATATATATACTGCTATCTGTAAAGTTTTGTTATTAATTTGAAGTAAAAGATTAGAGATATGATGTTGTAGTTAAATATTTCATATATTTTTAATTTTATAAATATTGTAATTAAGTATAATGCTATTAGGTATTGTGATAGATAGTTTAGCTTTATGCTTAGCTATAGTAAGATAAGAAGGTAGTATTGAGTGCAAATTGTTCTTTGTATATATTATAAAGATCTTTATTAATCAGTTTGTAAGAATTTTAGTATTGAGTGCAAATTGTTCTTTGTATATATTATAAAGATCTTTATTAATCAGTTTGTAAGAATTTTAGTATAAAGTCTTTTAATATGTTTGATTAGACTGATTAGTCTGAGATTGCTATCAAATTAGTATTTTTTTAAAATAGAATATATTTTGCTATTTTTTATTGTTTAAAAATATTTTGAGTATTAATATATCTATTAAGAAATATAGTAATAGTCTGTAACATATTGGGTTTAATATATTTAATTATTTTGTAGCTAATTTTTAATATTCTATGCTTTATTGTTGGGTAGCTATTAAATTGTTTGTATAACTTCTATACTAATTTCTTTAAGTATAGGATTATACTATTCTTTTCTTATTTTTGGTTTAGATTGGTATTCAGCTTTCTAGTATTGATCAAAAATTATATTATTGTATAGGTATGATGTTTATTTATTATAGTGATTATATATATATTGTTTAATTTTATCTAAATTATTGATAATATCTGTATTAGTTTTGATATTTTTGAAATATACAATATCTTTATTTTGGTTAAGTATACTATTTATCATTTTAGCTAGATTGGTAAATAACTAGTCATATTTGTTGTTGGTCTTAAATGTTGTATATTTTTGAGATTTCTTGTATTATACAAAGTTTTTTAATATTTTTTGGTTTCTCATACTTATTAGACAAGATCAAATTAGTAATATAGTAGAGTATTGATAGTGAAGTTGTGTTTAGTATTGAAATGATTGATTAGATTTAAAATGTTGTTTAGTAGTATAATATTATGAGTACAATATTTTTGAATTTGCTATATTATATATCTAATTGTTTTAAGATCTTTATAGAATTGTGTTTGTTGTAATTGTCTTATTGGAAATATATTGGTATACTGCAATGATAATGCAGATATAAATTTTGTACTATGTTTTTCAAGGCTTTCTGTTGTATCAATATTGGTAGAAACTTGATATATTGTCATATTTGTATTAACTTGATTTATGAAAGATTTCTAGTCTTTTTTGAATATTGATTTGTAGTTAAATATTCTTCTTTTGCATTTAGATTTTTGGTTGGTTTAGGAAAGTACAAATAGAAATATTTATGTTAAAGTTAAGATTTGGTGATCACTATTTGTAGAAAACAATAAATTGTCTATTTCAAATTTATTTAGATATAGTATTAGTGTATTACTAGCTCATATATAATTAATTCTATTTTGATATTTGCTGCTTTGCCAAGTATACTATAAATTATTTGTAGTAGGTTAGTGGTGCTATAAGAAATCAGTAGTTATATAATGATCATCATATATAATCAGATTTCATTGGTCAAATCTTCATTAGACAAATTTTCTGTAATGATAAAGGTTTTTCAATACTACAATAATAATTAATTGGTGATTTGCCACTCAACCAGAGAGAGCTCATAGTATAACGTGATACAGTTTACATATAGAAATTAGGGTTTTTGGAATGTGAGCTGCTTCTATTTAAAACTTTTTTTCGTATTAAGTTAATCACTTTTGGGCCTCTAATTGAAGTTGTAGAGCTCATAGAGACAAATCTAATAGTAGTTGAATCATCAAAATCGGCTTGGTAAATCACAAGATATCTTCAAAAAACCTTTTACTGACTATGTAAAATTCTCTCTTTTGACAATAGTATTGCCAAGAGAATTTTACATAGTCGGCGAAACGTTTTTTGAAGATATCTCATGATTCACCAAGCTGATTTTGATGATTCAACCACCATTAGATTTGTCTTAATGAGCTCTACAACTTCAATTAGAGGCTCAAAGGTGATTAACTTAGTACAAAAAAAGTTTTAGATAGAAGCAGCTCACATTCCAAAAACCCTAATTTCTATATGTAAACTGTGTTATGTTATACTATAAGCTCTCTCTGGTTGAGTGGCAAATCACCAATTAAATCAATCTTTAGTATAACAAAAATGATACTTAATATTTAGATTCATATTAAAAAAAATTTGTACATAAATTTGTAATATTTATTTTTTAATTAGCAGGTTTGAAAAGATTTAATTTGAAATTGTGTAAATAGTCAATATGAAAAAAGAATTAATATGTTTATAGCCAACTGCTTCATTCAATATAAAATAAATTATTTTGACAAACAAATAAACTAAATAGCATATACATAATAGTGTAAATTTAATAGTTATATAAAAAAAAAAAATTATTATTCACATTAATAATTTTTATATGTTTTAATAATATAAATCAAAAAGAATAGTAACATGCTAAAGAATATGATTACTTATATGCCAAACTTTAAGTTTCTTATATCAAACATATGTATTTACTTGGTTCACACTATCAAAAAAAATTGATTAATGCTAGCTTTATTAAATAAGGTTTTAAAGTTTTGTTAATTGCTAATTACATATGTATAAGAACAGTTGATGTTTGATAAATATATAATGAATAAACATGCATATAGAAATAATTATTATAATATACATTTAATAGATGATTTACCAGTTATCTGGAAAGCTATGTGATGCAGGTTACACAAGATTTATATATAAATTATATATAAAATCTTCAAATCGTAAATGTGGAGATTTTTTAAAAAAAATATAAAGAAAACTTTTTTTCTTACTAAGTAAATTACTCTTAGGCTTCTAACAAAAGTTGTAGAGCTCATCAAGACACGTCTAATAGTGGTGAGAACATTAAAATTGGTCTGGTAGTTCTTGAGAAATCTTTAAAAAATGTTTCACTGACATATAAAATTTCTTTAAAAAAAATCAATTTTTTTTAAAAAAATTTTATATGTTGGTGAAAAGTTTTTAAAGATTTCTCAAGAACTACCAGACCAATTTTAACGTTCTTACCACTATTAGATGTGTCTTGATGAGCTCTACAACTTTTGTTAGAAGCCTAAGAGTAATTTACTTAGTAAGAAAAAAAGTTTTAGAAGAAATCTCTTCACATTTGGCTTAATAGTAAAATTTACTTATAAAATTTGCAGATCTTCTCCAGATAATAGATGATTATAAAAATTAATGGCTTTCAAAAATAATGCATATATATCTTTTAAATTATAAGTTTTTAAATAATGTTTCATAAAGCTGCCTATTATTATTTCATCTTGCAATTTAATAATTATATAGATGATCGAATAGAAAAATATTTGATAAATAGTTTCAGTATTAAATATTGAGAATTTAGAGTCATATTATATAACAAAAACTAATATCCAAGTAAAATATATATAGCAATCAATTTCAGCTTTTAACAATATTAGAATTTGAGTTTCAAAAACAATATTCAATAATATCAAATAATACTAAATTAATAGATGATTTACTAGTTATCTGGAGAGCTATATAATGCAGATTATACAAGATTTATATATAAATTATATATAAAATCTTCAAATAGTAAATATAGAGATTTTTTAAAGAAATGTAAAATACCTTTTTTTTTTACTAAGTAAATCACTTTTAGGCTTTTAACAAAAGTTGTAGAGCTCATCAAGACACATTTAATAATAGTGAGAATGCTAAAATCGACCTGGTGGTTCTTGAGAAATCTTTAAAAAACATTTCACCAATATTTAAAAAAATCAATTTTGTTTAAAAAAAATTTATATATCAGCAATATGTTTTTTAAATATTTCTCAAGAACTACCAGGCTGATTTTAGTGTTCTTACTACTATTAGATGCGTCTTGATAAGCTCTACAACTTTTGTTAGAAGCCCAAGAGTAATTTACTTAGTAAGAAAAAAAGTTTTAGAAGAAATCTTCCTATATTTGGCTTAATAATAAAATTTACTTATAAAATTTGCAGATCCTCTCTAGATGATAGATGAATTGTCTATTAAACTACTTATCTCTTAATATTTATCTAGTGCAATAGTATTAATTCAAAAAAACTCTTACTTTTCTCATTTATCTATAAACAACACAATGAATCAATTAAATAGTAATATTGATGGTTAGTCTTAAATGAATACATGTTACTCTGACTATAATGATATTTTAAAATTTCAAATCTATAACTTTAATATGAAAATGCCTTTGGTTAGGATATATAGAACAATTTCTTGATTTTTTTGAAATGTCAATATAAACAGAGTTTAATCTATAAATTGTTAATATTAAATAATTAATATTAATTTTATAAAATATATTTTAGTAAACTCTTATGAAATAAAAGAATGCTTATATTGTAGAGTGTTAAAGTTAATTGATGAATTCATGAGGGTTTATGATACAAAGAAAGATCCATTTGCAAGCTACAATTACTGTTCTGAACAAAGAAACAAGACTCAACAAGTAAAAGTTCAATTAATAAAGATATGATACAAGAAGATAATCCAAGTTAATTTACAATCTGAGAGTAACCTTAACTCTTGTCTATTAACAATAATTGAAGATGATAATAAAAGCCTTATCTATTAACTAGAAGATCTTGAAAAACTTGTATTTATATATTTTTCAAACAATAAGCATGTTGAGTTTTTAGCTATAATTGAATTAAGCAATAAATTTATTGAAGAGGCATTATTAAATAAAACTAACCTGAATGATAATAGTAGTCAAAGTGATGGTAGTCAAAGTTTTCGTTTTATCATAAATATAATATTAATCTTAATCAAGACCAGGTCTTAATACTATTGAAAATTAAAAAAAAATTATATTAATTGGTGATTCGCCAGTCAGCCAGTGAGAGGTCATAGTGTAATGTGACGCAATTTACTTATAGAAATTAGGGTTTTGCGAATGTGGGTTGCATTATTCTAAAACTTTTTTTCGTACTAAGTTAATCGCCTTTAGGCTTCTAATTGAAGTTGTAGAGCTCATTGAGAGGAATCTAATGATGGTTGAATCGTTGAATCGTCAAAATCGGCCTTGTGGATCACGAGATATCTTCAAAAAACGTTTCGCCGACTATGTAAAATTATCTCTTTTGACAATAGTAACGCCAAGAGAATTTTACATAGTTAGCGAAACGTTTTTCGAAGATATTTCACGATCCACAAGGCCGATTTTGACAATTCAACCACCATTAGATTCCTCTCAACGAGCTCTACAACTTCAATTAGAAGCCCAAAGGTGGTTAACTTAGTACAAAAAAAAGTTTTAGAATGATGCAGTCCACATTTGCAAAACCCTAATTTCTATAAGTAAACCGCGTTATGTTATACTATGACCTCTCACTGGCTGACTGGCAAATCACCAATTAATAAAAAAAATAATCAACCTTACAGGTATGTCACTGTATATTTGATTTGTTCACAAATGATTGAGTGACAATATAAATATTATTATAGCTAATCTATTAAGTGAATTAGTAAGATATAGCCAGCCATTAATCAATTTTCTTGTAGCAGAAATATTATAATAAAAATTAATATTCTTTTAAAACAAGTTACATTATCAGTTATACATTTAATACCCTATAAATACCCACCTACTATGAAAGTAAATTAAATTGCCTCATAATGCAATTTCCTAGATTAAACTAAATCTAAATTGTGGTCTTTATATAATAGAAATTTATAAAAGGCTTTCTAGTGAAAAGCTTATAGACCCAACAATCTATACTTATTATCAGATATATTATTAGATATCTAAATTTTCTGCTAGACAATATATATCCAATATAAAAAACCAAGTTATCTTAACAAAAAACTACTAGAATTAGTCAATGAGAATTATAAATTAATTCTTTATATTGAAAATGATTTTGTTAGACTGCTTGGATTTATTACACTATTTATAAATATAATTTTAAAAGAAAATATTAGTGAACTAATTCTTAATTCTATATTTAAAACTAACAAAGAAAAATTTAAATTATTTGCCTTAATAATAAATTGCAGAGAATTTGAAATGCCACTTTTTATCTATATCTTAATATATTCATCACATCAGAAAATTGTCTACAAGACCCTATAAATAATATTAATAATAGAACCCAAGCACTTACTGAATTTTTTCAGCTTGTTAGAGAAGAAGGTATCTTATCTTTGTTTATTCTTTTTAATAAAAATATGGGACAAATCACAGCCATAGAAGAAGCCTGGTTCCAAAAAATAAAATTCAGCTATGTCTTTGGCATGTTGAACATGCCATTGATTGAAAAATAAAAAAAATCCTAAAATATCTTATTATTCTGTTCAAAAAGCAAAAGAAGCCAATAACCAATTTGTCTTTATTAATCCTAATTGGCTTTCTACAGGACAGCAAAGCCTAATATATTTTGCAAAAAATGCAAAAGTTATTAAAAATATAATAAAAAGATATTTGTTACTTTATTCTTAATACCAGTTAATATAAACACTTTTCTTATCTATAGCAAGAACTACAATGATAATTGAATTCTATTAGCAGGCTCTTAAATATGACTACAAATATAACTATAACAGGCTCTGTCTTGACTATTTAAACTATATCATAACAAAACAATTAATCCCAAATATGATAAATATCTAGAAAAGGTATAATAATAAGTGAAAGATTCTATCTTGGTAGAAAAGCTTTAAGAGTAGTTAGAAAATAGATCTTAAAAAGAATATCAAATTTCTAGAAAATTATCATGCAGAAACTAATAAATAGATTTGTTCTTGTTCGGCTTTTATAAATAATCTATATTTTTATATATAAGCACTTAATACAAACCTATATTACAAATAATCCAAATTTTTTTTTACAATTTCTAAACACAATTTGGTGGCACAATTATTCTTTAATCTACTTTGGAAAAAATAAAATTCCAAGAATTAATTCAGTTAATAATCCTTGAAATAATTCTTTACAAAGCCTTTTGAACGAATCAATTAATATACCTGAAATATCTGATAAAAATAGATCAATTATATATTTTCAATATAATATTATTGAAGAGAAAAAGGCTGAATTAGATTTAGATAAAAAAACTTTTGAATTCTTAGTATTAATTGTTAAACAAAATATTAATAATAACAACTTCTATAATGAATATAAAAAGCTTAAAAAAAATTTAATCAAAAAAACTTTAGCCTGTAATAAAGCTTTGAATACCAAAACACAACAACTTGAAAACTATTCAAAATTGAAAACTAGTATTTTGGTTAAATTAAAGAGTATAAATATACTTTAAAAAATATATTTAAATATAAATAAAATTTAACACAACAGTTATACTTTAAAATTTTACTCATCTTGTTTTAAAAACAATAAAGTTATATTCATGCATAATTAAATAATTGTGCAAAAAACTTTAACTTTAAAAGTAGAGTATACCTGATGGTATAGTTGTGATTAAGCAAGGATAATATGTATGAATTTATTTTATATAGATAATATAACTATGTTCATTTAATTATAATCTATATTTAATGAAATTCAAGTATCATTATCATTTTATTATAAAAAATTACAACCAATAAAATCTGATTATATATGATAATTATCACATAACTGCTAATTTCTTATAGTATCACTAACTCACTAGATTATTTGTATAATTAGTTAGATTATATATATTAGTACTATATAAATAGTTAAGTAGTTAAAATTTAATGGCTAATAATATAGTTGTATCTAGTGTTCTGAAGTTCAGTTCAGTTCAATTTAGGTTCAGGTTCAAGTTCAATTGAACCTGAACTGAACTTTAAATTT